ACTGCTTGTGCCATCAGATGCCACTTCAGTTTTTTCTTGAATAATTGTGGCGATTGGGAAAGTTGTGAGCGCCAAACAAGACGTTAACAAGAACGAGAGAGACAGGACAGATGCTTGTGAACGTCATGTGGAAGCATTAGTTCGCGCTCAAAATTTCCCGATAGCAGTGCGCCATCTGGCTGAATTTCAAGTTTTGTTAAAATGTAGCAATGGCACAGACCATGGGATTTTGTCATGTCATTTGCTACCAGTTCAACAGCGGCGGCGTATTTTAAGGTACCATGAAAATTGTCACAGGTCATATTTCAAGAAGGAAGGAGGCAGAAACGCACCGTTCATGTCGTACGTGATCCTTTATTACTCGCGAAAATAAATTTATTGGTCGAAGAATTCTGTTACCTGGTCGAAGAATTCTGTTACCTCTCGGCAATCAGAGAGGCTTTTAATTCTCGAGTCTCTTTATGAGATATTGCTGCCATCTTTTTCCGACAGGCTTGCAATTCTGTTGTACTGACACAACATAGCAATGACCGTGTTTTTGTAGATTTTTTTTCGTTCCCATTTAGGCACTTTTCCATTCATAGACATCTTTGAAGCGCGTAAGAACTTCCCGTCGCCCCTCACACGTCGTTGCATTCGTCCAGTCCACATTGCAAAAGGCTTGATGGCAAAGTTGTTTCCACGCTCAGGTTTCTCGTACCGAAGCTTTCGCGCTCTTTGTGCACTTCAAGGAATGCAGAAAGACTACAAAACAACGCAACGAGCTCTACACCATGCCATCGGGACTGGCATGGGGCAAACTTGTTGCGAGTGGTCTCGCAGTGTTCTGCCATTGTGCTTCGTTCGCTGTTTCGTGAGCTCAAGTTTGGTCGACACGCGGCGTCGTTGCGGCGCCATTGGTGTCGTGTTTCCCGCGTCTTTTCTTATACACAGTATTCTGCGAATAAATGCCTCTGTGTAGCCGCTGGTGCCGAGGTCGCGGATTACGTTTTTCCTTCTTTCCTTCCGCAGCTGTGGTGACAATTGGTGGTTAGATTATCGGTTATTTCTTTACTTATTTTAGTTTTCTCGTTTAGCTAGTTTTCTGTATACTTGCCCAAGAAAGGTGATCTAGGACATTTTTTTCTTGTGGGAATGGCCATAGGTATGTGCGTACGTGGTTGCAGCTCCACATTTCCAAGTTGTACGACTCGGACTGCCCTGCCGACGGCCCCTATTCTCTTTCTGCTCTAGCAGCCATGACCATCACGTTCTTTCAAACCTTCTCCTCCTACCTACTTCTAAACTATTTTCTCCACTCTCCCCTTTCCCTTCAAGGGACTGAGCCGTGGTCTCACAAGGAAAGATAGTGTCTTTTTTTTCTTCAACCACACATTTATCCATTCTAGGGAAGCTTGCATGCAGTAACTGGTTTGGAAAGCAGGTAAGGTTCGCGGAAAGTCACCTCACCTACCCTGATTTGTTCCGGGTCAACGCTCTCGAGGTGCGCCAAAAGAGGCGACAACACGAAAGTCATACTTCGAATTCTTTAGGGCTGTTGGCTCCCCTCGTCAAAAACTCTTTGGACACGCCTGGCTGACTGACGGCCTAGGAAGAGCTGTCGGAAATCGAGGCAGCTTGATTTGTTCGACGTACCATGAGACGCGCTGATAATTAGCCGAGAGGTTGGGATCCGTAATCAGGTATGTTTCCCACACTCTGTGGTGCTTTCAAGTGTTCCACTCCCCCAGGCCCTAGCCTGCCTAGCGCTGCAGGCCCTATTCTGCACCTGCGATGCAACGTTATTACACTGTGCTGTGTTGTGCGTATTATTGCATTATGACCTATGTTGTGTTTCTCTCTCGCCGTGTGACGAACTGAACATGCATCCTTTCTATTTCGTGGGTAGAAAAGAAGGCAGTGTTTGACTTTCTCTCTCTTTCTCCTTCTCGTTTTTTTATCTTTATTCGCTGCGCCGTGCTCCCTGCTGGGCTGCAGAAATTAGGCGCCTTCTTCTAACCACTACCCCCCCCCCCCCCCTATTTGGGGGATGGAGATGAAGACGACAATTTCTCTGGACTGCCTTGGCCTGAATGGACATGCAGTCTGTCCATTTACAGTGATCTGCAAGGCGGCTTTCCTGTAAGGTTTATTTCCTAGCCAAAAACTATCGTTCACAGACTGCTTTTCTCCCTCATTGTGTCTCTACCTCTTCGAATTCCAGCGAATGCATGCGAGCACGCGAGTACAACAAAATATCACCTCTCCAAATTCCAGCAAAGGCACGCGAGCACAAGATCTCAAAAAGGTGAATGGCAAAAACAAAATGAGCGAGAAAAGCAGTCTGTGAACGAGAGTTTATGGTTGGAAAACTAAGCTTACAGAAAAGCTGCCTTGCAGATTATTGTAAACTGTCTATTGTTTTCTCCTGCAAAGAATTTTAGGAAGACCACGGCTTAAAACGCGAGCACCGAGACGCTCTGAACCAGCTCTCAGAAGCTCTCATCAAGCTTCCATGATGTTACCTTTAGTGTGTAAATAGTGAACATAAACGTTGCTCTTATCAGCCCCGGCTACTCTGCTTGACTTCTACCTGAGACTTGGCTAACTCATTCAAACACATCACGAGCAAGCAAAAGGGCATGGAGTTGTTAAGATGAAAATGTGCAACATCACATCGCTTTTATTACGCGACATATTCGTTCTCCGCCGCATTCGCCCGATCATGTCCACATATAACTTTCCTGTTTTATAGCGACGACACACCGTTGATTGCGGTCACGTCATTGAATGTCATTTAAACAGCGGTTGCATTATTTATTTGCAAATTACTTCTTCATAAAATATGGTGAAGTAATTTATTATTTGGCCACCTGAGGAGCTTTCTAACTTGACTTATTTTTTATCGAGACTTGAATATAATGTTAAGTTTTATTTGGTTGACTCTGAGCATTACCTTCGCAACAGAAAGAGATCTGTCAGCGACAATATCATTCTTAACCTCTCCCAGTGCCAGTAGGTCCGTTCAAGTTACGTGATGAAAACCAGTTTGCTGAACTATGTCATATATGACATGTCGCTCAAATGTAGGTCTCTGCATTTTTGATGAATCCAGCCGTCTTTTGTAAATTGTCTACTGGCAAGTTTTTTTTTAAATTTTGTTTTGTTCTTTTTAAAACTGGTGGTCTCAGACAAGCTTATTACGCCTCGTCTCACCACTGGATAGCCGTTGTTACGCGCGGCGCCAGGGCCGACGGGGGAGGGCCGCGTTCTTTGTTCATCAAACAAGTCACCGAAGGGCTGCCAGCCTGCTGACCGCCGTGTACTGTCCATCTTAGCCGGGAAGTGAGGTGGCATTCCGACACCATAAGACGTTCGACGAGACGACCACAACGGTTTCTTGGTGTCACAGGTGCAGTGTTGTGGCCACGCCCCGATCAAAGACCTTGACTTGAGCGAGTGTGAGCGGCACCGTCAGAAATGGTGTGTGTGTCTCGTGATTCAACAGCGCATTCTTGACCCATTCCCTGATTAAGTCAAAACGTACACTTTATAGTGAGCCACCCAGCTCATTCGCAAGAGACCTCTCGCCCTGTCTGCACAGAATGTAATAAATCCTCTGTTAAGTTTGCCATCTTACTCCTGAGTGCACATGCGTTTTCTTTTCTGTCTCGCTACACGCCCTTTCTTGCCCCTATTTCTCAACCCCCAGTGCTAGGCAGCAAACCGGATGCGAAGATAGGGTTAATCCCCCAGCCTTCCTTTCTCTCTCTTGCCATCTTACTGCCTTGGCATCTTCATCCCGGGTATCCAATGTCTTAAAAGGCCGGTACAAACAGATAAGTTAAAGAATAAAACAGATGGTGAATATTTTCTGCAGCATGTTCAGACGCTGAATATAAGTGGTCATCCTCGAAAATTATCAACTTTAACACCGCGGACAGGTGCTGATATACCCTGAGTAGGTTCGAGCATGTATTATGCCTCGACGCTTTTAATCTTCATTAAACTTCTCCCTTTCGATTTCATCCTTGGGGGTTTTGTGTAGTTCTTCATCTAACGCCTAACCTCCCTGTCCTTCCTCATTTATTCCTCCTCCTCCCTTCATCCAACGCGTTGAATTCGTGCTGCACTGCTACCACTTCATTTCTTCTTTATATACGCCCTGTTTCGGGCACAATTATAGGCTGCCATCTTGGACTGATAATGATGCCGTTTTCCATCCGTATGAATATTCGAATTGTGCTATGGCGAACTCACATGCATCAAAACGCTGGGCCATTACATTCAACGTCGTATCACCATAATCATAGCTAATTACGACATAAAAAACAGCAAAAATTGCTTTTACGCCTAAGATGGCAGTGTCTATGCTTTACTGTAACTGTTACATTTTTTTTTTTTTATTTTCAATTTGTCCAATATGTCATTTCATGCAGCGGCCGCCGAACTCGTTCCGCTGTTCATAGTGGTACTCTCGGTCTCTGAAGCTGGATGAAGATAACTAAGAAGCCTGGTTTTTACTGGCTACTTAAAATGTGAACACAAGCTATAAATCAAGATGAAAAAGAAGACAAATCTGTAAAAGTCAGTACTGGCACATAAATGGCGCGCCGATTGCGCCAATGAAAAACGTCGGCGGCGGCGGCGCGCCGATCAGTTCGCGTCGACGGCGGCGACGCGGTTAAAACTATTGGCGGCGGCGCGCCAATCAGCCGGCGCACACCTCTAACCAGGAGGCGACAGTCGCGATACCAACGTGCACCTCCTGGCAGCGACAGCAATTACCAAAGCAAGGCTTCCACAGTGGTGGTCAAGGAGACAGTGAACAATTGTGATGTTCATGGACCTGGTGTGATTTTTCTTTCCTTTTTTTTTCTCATTCAGGTCAGGACACTAAAAGGTGCCCCCCCCCCCCCCCTGTATAAAGGGGAAGACCACAGAGATCATCATCATCATCATAGACTTTGACTAAGTTCGTCAACTATGCTTTTCTTAAACTTGTGACGCACCTGACTACAAAATATCTGAAAAGCACACGCCCACGGCGCGGGAGTCGTCGCAAGGAGAGGGGTTTGTCTGGCAAAATTTTTGTTTCTGATCGCGTCGCGCTGCGCTTCGGGGTTGTAGTTTTCGTGTCTCCGCGACTACTAAGCAACGCGCGCCTTTAGAAACGCCATGGGTGTCATTCGAAACGGAGCCAACGGGAAAGGACCATTCAGCGCGGCGAGTTGTGATGTCCTTGACGGGTGAGTACGATGACCGTGCCAAGACACGATCGTCGCTTGTCCTGCGGCCTACAGCTGTTACTAGGGGCCTCGGGGTGCGCGCGACTGCGTCCTGTAGTGACATACTGCCTGCTTGCGACATATGCGATCGCTCAATTACCTTTTAAAGGCCAAGAGAAGCCAGCTAACTGTGTGGAAAGCACTTGGTGGTTAGGTTACATTTGTTGTCATTTGATGGCTTAAAGGTACTGTATTCGCGCTTCTAGATTTATAATATGGCGCGCTGCAGTTGAGAGAGCGTAGTCGTAATTACTAGAATTGAAGAAAAGTCTCGGGTGAGATTAGGTTGCGTTATAACTTAACTTGTCGGTCTTGATTACTAGCTATTTCGCCCATTCTCAATTGCTAAGTCTAGTGGCGAAAAAAAAAGTGGGGGGGGGGGGGGGGGTGGAGGAAAACGATGCCCAAACTGGTTAGTGGTGCCGTGGCAGTAAAGCAAAGCCTGTGTATAGATTGCGCTGATCTGGAATAATTGTTGATTAAATTGATAAAATGTCCTAAAGTTACTATACTCCGTCATTCATAGTTGTTGGCTGCGAGTTCACTGTTGTTGCTGATGGCGCGCTTTCCTCTTGGCTGCCATAGTTATTGTATTGCTTCCTTTACCCAAGGTCATTTAAGTGAAATGTTTTTTATAATGTGGGAGCAACATACCTCTTTGTGAAAACAAATGCGCCTCATTGGCAGGCAATTAGTGATTGAACTAATAAAATCCAATTTCTTAATTGTGTTCATCTGTGCCATGTGAGTACTGTGGATGCATCTGGCTGTCTATTTCTCCACTACTTTATGACAAGCTTTCCGTGAAAGGGCACCACTGGTAAAAAAAGTGCTGCTATGAAACTATTGAACTTCATAATTTTGTTGCTGCGTGACATGAAAATTAGAGTGCTGTAAGCCTTCAAACAGACAATAAAGAACTTACATGGATCCACGTAAACACTTTGATTGTGTAAAAGAGTGAATTTCCTAGCGTGAAGCTACAATGAAATCTTTACATGTTTCTGCACACTTAAAGGAAAAGTTTGTTGTGATCCGGGATTTCAGCTCCGGACGAGCGGCCTTTTCAGAGATGTTTGCTGTACCATCTGTACCAACTGAGGGGCTCAGGGCTGGCACATTGAGTGCGTGTGGGGAGGAGACGGTTTACCATAATTTTCTAAGTAAGAGGACAATGGCATATCCGCAGTGAAATAGCCATTTTGGCTGATTGATTGCTATTCATTCTAAATGCAGGAAGTTGGGCGCAGTATGAAATGGACAGGATAAGAGTGCACCTGTGTCCTCTTGTCCCTGTTCCGTAGTGCGCCCCCCTTTTTGCACTTTAGAATGCATATCAATAGCTGTAATGGAGGAATGTTCAAGAATATAGTAAGTTTATCCATAACTAGGTGCCTTGACCTGGTGGTTGAAAATTTTAAAAATTTCTGGAACCCTCTTTAACCTTGCAGGCCTCAAAAGAGCGGATTTGCTATTGCAGTTTACTGTTATGACTTGTGAAAATCGGATTATGATTGAGCTTCACCTGCAAGAGTAGGTCGCAATAGCCTAATCAGGCCTCGTGCGCATCATCTTCTGAACTGCTACCGTGCTGCGATTCTCGGTACATGCGTCAGCCATGCCGTAAGAAAACTAACGACTGTGCACATACCATTGGCTGTTTCAAAGCATCATTGAAGGCCTACTGCAAGCAAAGTTGCTAAGGGCCCACTAAGCCATAAGTCTTTCTTTTGCGCATCAGTGAAGAGCCTATTGGGCATTCGTAGGGCAATATGCAGAGCATGTTTTGATGATGGTGTTCATATTTCATTTATCTTTGACTGTCATTTTCGTTTAAACTGCACTGGTATGTAATGCGAGGTTTGACGAATAAACTTTTGTTGGGAGCCTGTGCTCTTGTATGTGTCCTGCTTTGCCTGGTCTTTCTCGTCTTTTGCACTGTTTCCCTCCAGTATGATGTTGTCAGGCGTTAGGGTGCGTGCTGGGGCTATTTTTAACTAGATAAAAAATAGGTTTGCAAATTGCTCATTCTCTTTATTGTCTGTGCAACATTTTGCTTGTTTATGTCAAGCCTCACATATTTTCACATGATGTTTTGTGCACAGCCTGTTGTGAATCATGTCGAACTGACATATTTATAGAGAAAAACAGCGGTGTGCTTGCCAACATGTGAGTGCCAAGACATCTCAGGTGATTCACGCATTCCAACCATCCCACCAGTTCCTTTTGACAGCATTGTTTCCAGCCTTCAGTTATTCGGAAGGTTATAATCAGATTAAAGCAATGGTTGACTTGAGCAGCGTCAATGTGCACTGTGAATGTAATAGACCACTGAAAGCATTCCTACTTGTTTATTAAACTTGCCATGATTTTTCTCTGATGAAGTGATTAGCATTTTCTCTTGTCAATAAGTTATGAACGAATATGTACACGGTCAAGTTCATTCTCTATTCAGATACTCAGTACAATAGAGCTTGCATAGGTAGCTGCCGAAACGATCAGAATTAAGGTTTTTGCAGTTCGCAAAAGGCAGCAGGATTGTGACAGGCATAGCTTCAATTCGGAGCCGCAGATTGTTGAATCAATTGCTTGTAAATCATTACGAAATTCATAAGTACTCATCAGTAACAGATATTGCTTTCTCTTAACTGCTTCTATGGGCAATGCATGAATGAATCGGGAAGTTTGTAGCTTTTGTGAAACTGGAAATGTTTCTATGGACTTGGTGAAATTTCTCCTAGTGAAATTTCTACTAATTACCGCTGTACTTCATAGCAGTTTGCATTTCAGGGAAAGCCAAAATAATCTCGGCCTAGTTATACATCTCAGCGAGAGCTGATTGTGTCGTTGCTGGGTCGAAACGATCGCTGTGCCAAAAGAGTCATATAAAAAGTCACTCTAAGTGACAGATTGTTGTAACTATTTTGTTTTAAGTGTAAAAACCTGTTCAGTGTGGTTGTTTCCAAGCTAAATCTTAGTTTTGATGTTTTTAGATAAGACTCGAGGTGAAGATATGTTCCAAATTAAGAGACAGCTTTCTTGGTAGCATGACCAGGTAGCATGCACGTGCAACAGTAGTCTATTGCCCAATGTTAAAAGCCAGTGATTGCACTGAATGAACAGTTTAGATGTGCTCACAAGCAGTTCCAAGTGTTGACAGCAATCTTATCTTTGGCTAAAAGTGCTCTCAGCGAGAAACACTGTCCATTGCTCCTGTCCACTTCAAGTTGTTGCAGTCAGCAGCCTGATATGGCGGCGCAGCCGAGAGGTTTTCTGTTTCCTTGTTTACATTTCCTCGTCCCTCCTACTTTCATACCTGCGCCTGGTGCGGGGGCACTGATGTTAAACACAGGCATCCAGTTCAAAATGTAAACAAGTATTTCTTTGTGTATTTACTACAACACCTACTGTGGCAGAATCTTGTGCAGAGCAAACACCCACAGTGGTGTTCCTGCATGACGCCATCCTGTAATTTTTACATCAGTCTAGCTTTATTCTAAGTTATGTTTTGAGAATGTCCCATTGCTGTTTTTGAGGTGATGAGATATTTGATCATGTGGTCGCTCGATTTTCGTGACATGGATGAGCGGCTTGCTTCATTTAATTTTATCTTACATTTCACTTTAATCCTGAGGGTTCTTCGGCATTTCAATAATGTGAATGGGTCACATCACATTGAACATGATCTAGACTACTTAAAAGCAAGGGTACTACGTAAACACATTAACAGTTCTAATCAATGATAATGCAAGATTGATTAATGAAGATAATATTGATGCAAATATAACGCAATAAGGAATAATAACTGTAAATGCCAACATAGACTCAGCTACCTTATCCAGATACTGTGTTGTCAGTTATAGGTTATTTAAAGTGTCAGTAAAGAAAGTAAATCACACTGAAACAGTAATGATGATGTATTATAACCGGCAGTGCAAGGACACGGCCTGCAAGGGACACGCATCAGCATACCGTCCAAATGCAGTCCACGTGCTGCAGGAATGCTAGTGGTATCCGTGTGCGCTGCGGGGAATGTGCATCGGCATCGCTGTGATACGCAGTCTGCGTTGGACAGAAGCACTGGATGAAAAGCACGTGTACAGACGGGTGGAAAGAACGCGTCACCTGTGTGCCGAAGGCTCTCTCTCTGGCCTTCACTGGCCCTGTCATCTCTCATGTAAAGACACATCTTTAGATCTAGTTTGTGAACTCTTTTAAATATGTAAATAATAATGTGTTTTTCTTGTATGAAGCCTCACAATAGCTCTTTGTCGCCGAAGCCTGGGTGGCAGTTTGTACCCCCCTTCTCAGTCACATCAAGTGGTTGGCAGCAGCAGGATCGGGTTGTGTTTTCTAATGCTGGTGAGTGCTCACTTTCTGTAGTGGTTCCAGATGTTTTAGATACTAGTTGGTGGTGTTTATCCATTCAAAAAGGTAGATTAATTGGTGCTTTGTGACAAAGTGCCTTCATTGGAGGTACCGTCACAGCTGCTTGAGCAACGGAAGTCTGCAAGGGGTGACCATGGAGACGAAAAAATTGAGGACACCAGATTAAGTGCGCTCGTGCGAGGAGCTGGGGATCAAGGTGGTAACGACACAAAGGAAACCACATTAGATATAGGCGGTTAAGAATTTTGGCGCGGATAAGGAAGAGCTTAGTGAATACCGGGAGCTCGTTCTTGGAAAGGTGCAGAAGGCACAAAAAGATGAGGAATGAGAGCGGCTATCCTTTCAGAAAGAGACCACTAAGCATAAAAAAAAAGGTGCAGTTCAAGAAATGATATTGAAGCTTGAGCTTCCGATTGTGCAGGTGAAACGTGACGGTGGTCAGGGTACATATAATGTAGAGATTCACAGTAAACCTGACACTATAAGCATCAAGGGTGCGGATGAGCTATCATGTGAGTACTGCGTCCATCGCCAAACAGGTGTCACAAGCATGTCCGAAAGCCATTATGACTGGCTTTTAAAGAAAGGTTTCATTTCTCAGCTTGGGACATATGCAGTATTTTCGACTGAGCATAAAAATAGTGCAGAAGTAATCATCAAAGCAGAAATTATGGAATCAGATATGCTATTGACTGTATGTAATGATATGGAAAGGTAGGAGGGCGAAGATGGAGCAGTTATTTGTGGGAAATATAATAATAAAGCTAAAATAATTGACATCGAGGATAACAGATTGCCAGGGCCCTGCTTTTTCAGCTGCAAGGAAGCTGGTTCACTTTTTTTAGTGTTCCTGGCTGCAGAGGCCACTCCTCAAAGATCTTGTGTCAGAGATCTTGAGCCAGAGGAAGGTGCACGAAAGCGTAGATTGGGCACTCCTGTCTCTGTGCATTAGGGGACAGATTCTTAGGCCTAGGTGCTATATTTTTCTGTACAGGGGGTAGAGATTTTGTGAAGCGTCTGGGGGTTTTCATGTGGATTTTCTGACACACGTCTACAAAGATGCTCCTAAAGAGCCCGTAAATCACCCACAGGTCGCAATTCAGTTGTGGTGGGAAAATTGTGCACGAGTGTACAATGAACAAGGACCCTTGAGAATTTTTCTAAACGGTGCAGTAATAGCAAAGTTAGACACGCTTGATTATCGAAACCGTGACGACCACACCTTTCACTTTCTCCTGCACTTCCCTCTGCTGGTATCCTCTCCCATGCTGCTTGCTTTGACCTCTCGCTGAGCACTCCTCCCATGTCCCTGCCAACCTCACGTAGCATATGTCATCGCTGACGTGCTGCTTGAAACACCGTCTACTTCCGGTTGCCGCGACTCCGGCCATTGACTCCGTCAGTTGCGTGCTTGTTGGCGACCCGTGGCTGTGGTAATCGTGCTAGCATGGACCCTGCATTGCACGCACGCCCTTAAAGGATCGCCAAAACAATGGATTCGTACGGGGACACGCCGTGCGCCGCACCTGTTGCGCGCATGTGGGCAACACGACGAACAACAACAAGCAGTGCGGACAGCTGCTTGCACACTGACTGGAAACCGTAGGCTCTTGCCCGACCAATCACAGCATATTTGGCATATTTTGCTCGGCGCATCAGAGATGTGGCACGGGACGTCACGCGGAGGCCCGAAAGGCCCGGAAAGAAGGAGGGATTGTTTCTTAGAATTTGTGGCGCGCTGGTGGCTCGTAGCGCTGCCACGTGTAAAATCATTGGTCGCAACGACATTCCACACATGATGCACGCGTTTATTTGACATGCTTGAAAAAATATCGCAGGTTGTTTATGGGCCCTTTAAAAGAAGCCTTTTGTCTAGGGTCCATTAAGAATCTGAAAAGTTTCCTTGCTTGGGTTTGGAACGCTATCACTTAAGCGTAAATATAACTGGTCACCACCACAGTGAAGCCTTCTGTTGTGCAAAAAGTTAAAGAAGGAGCCTTGAAGTAAGTTAACACCTGGCGAATCCCGGGAAAGCTGAGTGTCCTCAGTGATGGACTGGGCTAAAGTGAGTCGCTTCTCGCTTAAGCCAGGCAGAGGAAAAGTTTAGCCATGCCTATGTCCTACAGCCGAGAATGAAGGACAAGATGATTTAGCCACTGTGGACTGCGGCCTTGCTGCAGCACTTCGTGCCATGACCTACCTGCGGACGACCAGGCAGCGATAATCGAGCCTCTCCAGCGAAGCAGGGTACTGTGCTGGGACCAAGCGTGTGTTGATGTTTTGTGAATCGTTGCGACACCAAAGGTGCCTACCATAAGACCTGCTGTGTGGTGTGCATTTCTGCGTTGTGGTAGACAATAAGTGAGATGCCCAAAAAGATGTACAACGGTCACTTGAGGGAGCAGCGCTACTGTAGCCTTTATGTGACCTCTTCGGGCGGTGGTCGAGCTGTTATAACTAGCAGTGCAAGGACAAGGCCTGCAAGGGACGCCCATTGGTGTACCGTCAAAACGCAGTTCATTGTCCTCCAGGAATGCAAGTGGTGTCCCTCTACACTGCAAGGAATGCGCATCGGCGTTGCTGTGACACGGAGTCCACTTCGGACAGAATCGCTGGATGAGAAGCGCATGCACGAACTGGGGTCATAAAGAGCGTGTCGCGTATGTGCTGAGGGCTCCGTCTCTGGATTTCACTGGCCTTCTTGTGTCTCATGTAAAAACGCGTCCCTGTGCCTTGTTTGTTAAATTTGTCAATATGTAAACTAAATGTGTTTTGTTAAGGTAAGTAAGAAGCCTTACTAAAGTTCTCCTTCTTCGACGCCTGGGTTACAGCTTGTGCCTGCTCCTCTGTCACATCAGAGGTTTCTATTTTGTAAGTGTTCTAGCTCAGAACAGGGGAGGGATCAAACAAAAGGATGAGAGGGAGCCACACGGGATTGGCAAAAGCTATTCTGATGGTCAAGGCATTAGATTAGCCACGAAATTTGCACAAAACAGGCAAGAAAGCATTGAAACAGACTCGAGCCCCGTTCTATTTATAAAATGCATAAACGGTCTCTAGACGACGTGGATTAGACCGAAACATAAACACTTGATCCTTGAAAATCAAATTAGCCTGTTTTGCACCTTTCTTACCCCAATCCCGTGTCGAAAATCACCACTGAACGACTCATCAAATCGCGACATTACCTAGCGCCCACTCAGGATATTATTATCGTTATCACGCTGTGGAATACCAAGCTTTGAAAATAATGTCTGTCAACATTGATGTTGAGCTGTAATAATTCTGTATTTATTCATGCGTTGAAAGCATTTCTGAATGCCCTCTCGTTTATTGGCTGTTAGCTCCCTCTCGTCCTTTATTCGGTATTTTGTACGCTAGAATGCTTACACAATAGCTCTCCAGATGGTATGAGCAATTTGAACTGTTAACTGTAATGTAACACAGGCCTTTAGCTTTCAGGAGGACATCTGGTCGACTTCATAATCAAATCAGTTTTAAGTTCATTTTTGGCTGGACATTGTCACTAAATGATTTTTTATTGCTGTGGCATTGTACTGTTGAATATTCTTTCAGCTGTTATTGTTTCCCATGAGATGCTGTCAAATTTCGTGATCAAGTGGAACTGTATATGTTCTCTTGACTTGCTACAATGGTGTTTTTCTTTCTTTTTGTCAATTACTAGAATTGCTTATTCAAAATAACAGACAATGGAGCCAAAAAAGGAGTAGGACAGGAAGTATAGGGTGTGCACCTGACCGTCTTCACTCCATATCTTTTTAAGCATGTTCCTGAGCTACTCAGGGATGAATGGCCTAAAGCATTGATTTTGCGAACCCCACCCTCCCCCTCCCATGTGATCAGCCTCTGTATAATCATAACTCTGAAACGAAAACAATGGAATTGGCTCAATATTTTTGCCATTTTGGAGACCGGTATTGACTTGTGCTTGGAATCCTGGCCCCAAATATTCTTTAGAAATTACTTGTATATGAGATATGAGATGTTTTTTTTTTTTTTTTTTTTCAAACGACATTTCTTGATGCTTTGTCCCTCCCCTGCTCCCATCTTTTTCACTGCTTTGGCCCTTGTGGGTCTGTGGCTCGCTGGCTGAGGAGAGTTTGAGACCCGTGGTACAGGGGATCTTATCAGAAGTAACTTTAATGTAAGTGTGAAGAAAGAAATTTGATCGAAACGATAACTTGCCACCGACAAGGGTGGAACCTGCAATCGAGGTTTGGTCGCTGCCAATGGGAAGTTTTCTTTTCGTCGACTGTTCTTTTTCTACCTTTACAATGAAGTTGCTTCTAATAATAGCATCCCCTATACTTGGCATCGTTGTCTATTAGTTCTCAGTAATATTGTGTCTAGCAAAAAAAAATGAGCCGTTCACTTTAGCCGTCTTTTCTTTAGAATTGCTTATACTCTCAAACCTATTTATAACAGTTACATCTGCATGAAAATGCTTCGCTACATGCGAAAGTTTGTTATAAACGATGCATAAAACGCTATGACAAAGCTATTCATCACTTACTTGATTATAAAATATAATTTGTAATATCTAAATTAGTTATGTAGAGGTTTCAATCTAGTGTTTCTATTTCCCTTGCAATGTACAAATTTCTTTGCTTCACTTTCAATTTAGTTTGTTTTGTGCGTTATTTATTGTTATGTTTCTCTGCCCCCTCCCCCAATGCAATACTGCTCTGGGCCATATTGGCTAATATAAATGAATGAATGAATACTAAATAAATAAGTTGGGCCGCAGCTTTTGGAGCCTTGCTTCTAGTATCACAAGGCATCACATCATTGACAGTTGTCTTGAAAACCTTCCTGTAGGTTTAATAGCCATGACGAAGGAGACGAACCAGTGCCGCTGGCTGTTCACGTCGACCCCTCGTCCTCGCTTCTGGAGCGAAGGCGGCGCACGGTGCGACGGTCGATGCCTGCTTGTGCCGATGTTTCGGGGCTCGGCAGCCGCGGGAAGCGACTGTCTTCCAGGAAAGTTCGGCGCCTTGACAACAGTAAGCCCAATTCAAAGTCTACATTTCATTTGCACGCGGCATGAAATTGAGAAAACTGCAAAGTGCAAGCGTGCATCAACTACGTTCAGTTGCAATCTAAGAAAAAAAGGCAGCTCCACCCACAGAACCATGCCACATTTGCCTGTGAAAGGAAGTCATGCTACCTTGCTTTCACTCAATCAGCATTTCTTGGCTAATGTAAACACTGCACATATTATGAGAGAAAGGCTCGTCATAACTGCCAACTGTGTTATATTTTGCTGAGCAGTGGTTTTAAAACTTGACAAAATTCACCAGGACGTCCAAGTTTCCGTCATAAAACCAGGGATATGAACGTGGGCCTGTGTGGCAATGTCATCCATAGGAATTGCTCGAGAAGTGCTAGACATCTCAAAAATCATCATCATCATCATTAGCCTGACTACGCCCACTGCAGGGCAAAGGCCTCTCTCATAATCTGCCAATAGATGCGGTCTCGTGTTTTCTGCTACCACGGAGAAGAACCTGCAAACGTTTTAACCTCATCGGGCCACCTAACTCTCTGTCTCTCTTTCATGCGTTTGCCTTTCCTGGGAATCCAGCCAGTTACCTTTAAAGGAATGCTGAAGTCAAATAAGAATTTGAATTCGGCCTAATGAACGACGTCTAAAATGACAATGCAGTGAAACCCTTTTATAAGAAACATGGTATTAGAGACACCGGTGTGTCTACAGTAAAACAAGGGTTGATAAGAAAATGCATACGAAGTACTGTGCTTATAAGAGACATCTCAAATCATAGACAAGTACTGCTGCCCAGAACATGCCTCCTATAATGGGGTTTAACTGTATTATTGATAGCAGTGCCCTACTTACCGAAAAATTAAGGTAAATGCATGAGAACATGTGCGCTAAACGTAGGACATTCACAAAGTGATCCCGATGATGTCAGAGTTACTGCCTACAATTAATCACTAGTAATCGAACTAGCTGCACTAAATAAAGAACCTTCCGTGCATCAAGATAGGTAATAAAATGCTGCTTGTTTGTTTCTGTTTGAATCATGGAAAAAAGAACCGCTGGGCTATGCTATGGGGAATGATGTGAGTGGTTCAAAAGTTCAATTTTCACCTGGTTACATTGGACAAGTTGTGCCATCAAACGGGGCCCAGTTGAAGCAAGCACTTCTGCCATCCGGCAGGCTATGGCAGGAAGTTTTTCAATGGCCGTTCTTGCTGCTGTGGCTCTTGTTACTTTCGTTCTGCTGCTACTAGTGTCAGCAGCAGCACAGTAAAGCTGGGCAACATTGTGAACAGCAACAGTGACGTGACACGTTCCACTTGAGGCGGGTAGTTTGAAATGTGCTAACCCGATTTGGTCCCTTTAAAATGGGATGGTATTTAAAAATAAGCTCTTTTTTTTTGCACAAAAGTAACTCTACGAGGTTTCTGGACCACTATTTGAACAATCAACGACAACTTAATAGTTTCTGTTAGTTTCCGTTTAATGAGCAGTGGGTGTCCTGTCAACGTGCTACGTGCCCGGCCAAGTCTATTTCTTCTTCATCATTTCAGCTATGATATCCTTAACCCCGGTTTGTTCCCTGAACAACTCTGCTCTCTTCTTGTCTCTTAGGGTTACACCTACCATTTTTTTTTTCGGTCCCTCACTGCGTCGTCCTCGATTTAAGCGGAACTCTCTTTGTAAGCCTCCACGTTTCTACTCCATAGGTAAGTATTGGCAAGATGGAGCTGTTATATACCTCCCTCTTGAGGGTTAGTGCCAGATTCTCATTCATGATTTGAGAATGCTCGCCAAATGGGATTCACTCATCCTTATTCTAGTTATTTCACTCTCATGGTTTGGCTCCATGATTACTGCCTGTCCTAAGTAGACATATTCTTTACAACTACCAGTGCCTTTCCACCTATCGCAAAGTGCTCTTTTCTGCTGAAACTGCTACACATTACTTAGGTTCTGTGCGTACTAATTTTCAGACCTACTCTTTTGCTTTCCTTGTCTATTTCAGTAATCATGCGCTGTAATTCATATCCTGAGTTACTCACCAAGGCAATGTCATCAGCAAATTCCAGGCTACTAAGATACATTCCATTAACTCTTATCCATAATTCTTTCCAGTCTATGGCGCTGAAGACCTCCTGCAAACAGGCAGTCAATAGCATTGGAAGAATCGTGTCTCTCTGCCTTACATCCTTCTTATTGGAATTCTGTCACTTTTTTTACGGAGAAGTATGGTGGCTGTTTATGGCTGTGGGTCCACTGTAAATTTCTTCCAGTATGTTTATGTAGGGTTCATCAATTCCCTGATTTCGTAGTGTCTGCATTACTGCTGATGCCTCCACTGAGTCAAACGCCTTCTCGTAATGTATGAAATCTATGTATGAGGGTTGCTTGTATTCCGTGCATTTCTCGATTGGCAGTGGCCTACTATCGTTAGAGTGAGGGGCCTGTCAGCATAGTGTAATCGTGACTACAGTGACGGGGCCCGTCAGTGCAGTGCTATTGTTTAAGTAGGGGGGCTCTTCACTGTAGTGAAATCGTAGAAGAGACGGTGCCCGTCGTAATAGCAATGCAGCTATAGCGACGGGCTTCGTCACCGTAAAGTAATGACTATTGTGAAGGGGCCTGTCACACTAGTGTAATGATAAAATGAGGGGTGGGCTCATTGCCCTAAATTTGTGTAAGAAGTACGTACAGTGCGAACTCAAGAGCGGGATACAAAAGAAGAGACACAGACAGGCGCTGACTAGCAACTGAATTTTTATTAGCACGAAAGGAAATATATACGGAAAAACAACAGAAAAAATAAAGGAAAAATTAAAAGCATGACAAGATTTCTTCCAAGGAATGGTTACTCGCGCTCTTCCAAAAAAGGTAATTCTTTTGTCAATGAACAAGTAAGGTAGGAGCCATGCTGATGCATAGCGAAGCCTTCTTTCACGATATGGGTGGCTTCAATGATTTCACGAGTACGGCTGTCCTGATGTCTACTCATCATTGTGGTTTCTTCAAACAGGGGTGTGCAACTGCAGGATAAACAGTGAATGGCCAAAAAACCTTCTTTGGCATTGCGCACATTATTTCTGTGCTCACGGAGGCAGTCATTTAGGCGCCTTCCTGTTTGGCCCATATATAACAACACCCACATGAAAGCGGAATTCTATAAATGACATTGTGTGTGCATTCTACGTATCTTTTGCGATTCTTGATAGCGCACTGACATTTCTTTTTCTTTTTTTTACAGTAGAGGTGACACGCCAAAGATATGACAGGTTTATGGGGGGTTGAGGAAAACCACTCGAATGCCACACTGTTGCCTTATTTCCATCAGAAGATGCGTTATCTTATGCATGTATGGTATGACCAAAATCTTCTTCCCTCGATCGGCTTCCATGTTTGCCTGTTGAACATATTCTGGGCAGTTTTTCTTTTTCGGGTAAATTGCTTGCGCTACCGATATGTGCAGCTTTTGCAGGTAGCCTGCTCCTTTAAGCCGACGTATCTGCACCATGAAACTTCCAGTGACAGCGTGTTGACATGATTTTTTCAATGCATTGGAAAGACAAGTTTGAACGATGCTTCTCTTGACTAATCTTGTGTGTGAGGATGTGTACGGCAACAATGGTTTTGGTGCTGGCGGTTTGTACATCCAACATGTATGTTGATTGGCAAATGTAATTCTCAGATCTAGAAACCAAATGATGCTATCTTGTGGTATTTCGTGAGTAATAGACTGAGGCGACAGACACTTTTTTAATAATGAGATGAGGTGCCTTGTTGCAACTTGGAAGTTATCCGCATTGCACTCGAGAACCACGAGATAATCATCAACAAATGAGGAAGTTCTCAGAGCACTGCTACGATTGAGGCGTTCGTTAAGAGCTCTGTCAAGCTTTGCTAAATATAGGTCACTCAAAAGTGGTGCAATGCATGAGCCTATAGATACACCATTCTTTTGGAGTAAAATTTTATGATTTCATTTAACATAGATAGATTTAAGGTATAACAAAATGATGTCGAGGAAAGAACCCGCACTTATGCAATTCATGTTCTGGAATGCCAGAAGTCCAAATTCATTGATGCATTCTTCGATACATGAAATTAACAATTTGGTTGACACAGAAACACACAGGTCTTTCACATAGAGGGAAAAAGTGGTGAGCTGTTTGTGCGGGTTCTGGTTGATGAAGCTTATGATTTCTTGAGAATTACAGATAAGAAAGGGACTATCAATCTCTAGCAATTTAAATTTTTGTTAAATGAAGCTTGCTAGTGCCTTCTGCCACATTCCTTTTTTTTTTTCAAATTATCACGCGGAAAGGTGAATCTTTTTCATTGGTGTTGCATGAAAAAAACATATCAAGAGCCAAATTGTCACATTTACATATCATTAGTGCCATCTTTTTTTGGTCTAGTTGCGAGCAAAGTATGTACTTTGGCTTTTTCTTTAATTTTGCTAGCGATACATCAGGACATCGTTAAAACACTGAGAAAATGGCATAATGCGCTTTTCCAAAGTACACATAAGTTGGTAGTACAGCGGATCCTCTCTCTTTATCTGGTCCTCTTCCAGGTCCTCGAGGGCGAGCTTCGCCTCCCACGTTTCGGTTAGGTCTTCGTTCGTTCGTCCTGCTTCGTTATTAGTCGTGTGTTGTTGCAGATTACGTCTGGCAATACACTGGCATGCAAGAAGCAAGTGCGCCAGGGTGTCCGGTACGTTGCAAAGCGGGCACATAGAGCTATATCTCGTTGGGTAGAGACGGTGCATTAGGGCCCCATGTGTGTATGTGCTGCTTTGCAGGCGTCTCAGTATTACGCTTTTCTCTTTTGTCAGTTTTGGGTGTGGTGGAGGGTATACTTGTCGCTCCAGCATGTAATGCTGAAGTAACGACGTGTAGGTGTTTTGAACAACTTCCGTCTCTTCAACGACGGGTCGAATGTCCTGTGGGCAGGGGGCAGCTCGGCTGACGTGCTCGCGGGCAGCGGCGCGGGCCGCTTCATTTCCCTGCAGACCCTCGTGTCCTAGCACCCATAATACACAAGTGTATGGGAGTGGAGTGCTTCGCCGTTTCAAAATATTGATGGCATTGGCTGAGATACGGCCCTTAGCGAAATTCCTGCAGGCGGCTTGTGAGTCGGTGAAAATCACCGCGGCGTCTGTACATGTTGTGGTTGCTAGAGCGATTGCCGATTCTTCTGCGGCGTCTGAATTGAGTGCATGGACCGTGGCTGACGCTAATTCTCGGCCTTGAGAATCGACGACGCTGACAGCGTACGCGTTTCTATGCGGATACTTGGCCGCGTCAGTGTAGCGGGCGTCCGGGTCTTGCTTGAACTTTCGTCGAATAGTGTTAGCTCTAGCCTTGCGTCTACTTTTGTGGAAAGTAGGATGCATGTTGCGTGGAATAGGTGCGATGGACAGCGACTCTCAAATGTACAGCGGGATGCGCTTTTTCCGGTCTGCATCGGCGATGAACGTGTCGCTGTAGTTGAGGTACCGGAGCTCCGATCTCCCCGTGGGCGTCAGCTTGAGCCTCTCCAGCTGACTATTCCTATGCGGTTCGATGAGCTCTTGCCACGTGTTGTGGACGCCCATCTTTAGGAGACGTGTGGTAGAGGCCATTGGCGGAAGTCCCAGGGCTACTTTAGTGGCCTTTCTTATCATGATATTAAGTTTTTCAATTTCAGTGGTTTTCAAATTTATGTACGGCGTGCCGTACGTAATGCGGCTGGTGAACAGAGCTTGCAAATAATGAAAAAAACGAAGTATAAGAGTACGAAAAGGATGGACGCGATGAAAGTAATTATTCAAGTTTTTGTTAGCTTGAAATTATGTGGAAGTAAAATATACCAGTAATGGAACAGGGCAGTAATTGTTTAACTGATGTCAGTGTAGCGTCATAACTTATACGTATAAATATACGGTTGAATCATTTCATAGTAGAGACGCACCAGGGTTCAGTTCATGTCCCTTATATGAGGTGTCTTTCACAAGCAAGGTACGGCATTTATGCATTTTCTGTGCTACCCCTATTTCGGTGTATGCACTCTGGTGTCTCTTATAGCCAATTATCTGTTGAATCAGTGTCTTATTAGGGGCTCGACTGTATAACCCAATTTGTCATGTCATTACATATATTTAGAAACTAGCACATTTATGTGCACTTGTACTTATTCAAGTAATGCATGTTGTTAGTGACAACTGCTTTAAGTGATGTCGGGAAAAACCGTAATAAAGAACCTAATTTAATTAATGTGTTTGTCAATTAAAATTCACAGGGAAGAAAGCATTAAAAAGTAAGCGATCGTATATAATAAAAGCAGATAGAGTGTTTAGTACAGTTTTAGCTAGAGTTAATGAAGGAATATAATGCGATCTAAAAAAAAAGTGATCAAAAATCTACTAAGCATACAAACATGTATGTAGTAAGAATTCAAGGCTTCGATAACAGAACGCAGTCTGGTTACACCCGCAAAGTAAAAGAAAAAAGACGAAAAAAAAAAAAAACGGTGGTAGAGAACTCTGGGATGAAAATACAGCAAACAAGGCTGCCATTTTACTCTAGATTACTGTTCGTGGTTGGAGAGGCACCTTTGTTCTTGTCCTGTGAATGTTTCTCTGCTAGCCACTGAATGGTCCAATTTGTGCCCAATGCAGTTGCAGGGGCTCGTTGAGTGAAGATGAAATAAGTGTGCAAGTGTGTGTGAATGCAGAGCACTTTCTGCACGACCTTGCGGAAGAAGACGAGGACGCGATGGGGCAGTTGACCATCGAGGACTTTGTGCACCAATCGGTGTCCGCCTTCTCTCGGTTGCTTGCAGACCTAGACAATCACGAGGTGTGTGCAGTCATTTGTTGCTGCAGCTTTGCTCATTTTTCAGCATAAATCTCGCACTCTTTGCATGGGCTTTATGATTTACCATCAATAAATAAATGACATGTGTGTAATTTGGTACCAAGGTTCTATAGATGAAATTTAAAAGCAAGCAGAAGGGTTAAAATAGTGTTTATCGCATTTCACAAGAATGAATTGCAATTAGTATTGGTAATTATCTAATTAATGCTCAGTGAGTCATGCGATCTTTCAGTTTCTTGCTTTTTGATTCCGAATCGTTTCATTTGTTACACTTAGATCCTGAAGCACTGCACATGTACCGTCTACACCCAGCCACTCTTTTCTTGTTCACAACATCTTAACATTGAATCACGGTAGATTCTCGTTAAATTAAACATGAAGGGAGCAGAAAAATGTTTTATTTAACAATAGTTTCATTTATGGAGACATGAATGGGGTCAGTCACATTAGAGGCAGTTGTTCTACCTAAGCAGCAGTTATATTTAAAATTTCCGATTGCTGAGAGGCAACTTACAGTAAAAACTTGCAGAAAGTACAGCGATTAGGTGTAAAATGTACAAAAGATTGATTTGCCTGTACACACATCATGGAAACTAGGGGAAAAAGTTGCAAAGAATAGCCAATCACAAAAAAAAGATAGCAAGATTTGTGCTTCAAAGCATTCAATAGATGATGATGCAACAGATGACGTAAAATCCTGGACAAGCCTCCTCTTTCCTTCCAGAAAAAAAAAAAAAAAGGGTGGGGGAAAGCATGGTGGATGACCAGATGCCGAGCAGGAAGGGAGTGTGAAGGGAGGGGGGGTGCTTTTCTGGAATAGCATGGAATTTTGGAATTAGCTGTGAAATTCGAGGGGGCGCCTGCTCATAATATCATAGTGCAGTGTAGGATTTCAGCAGCATTCTCATTTTCCATTGTCACTGTTTACGCTCCCTCTCTTTTCCTCCCTCATTGCTGTGGTGGAGTGATATTTGTGTTGTGCAGGTCTGGGACGAAGTGCTCAACTGCACCGGGCAGCCGCTACCCCTGCCAGAGGACCGCAGGTCCAACGAAATTGCAATGGAAGTTGCGAGTAGCCTTCCAGCATCTGGCGGCTGCTTCCAAAGGCTAGATGCCGCGCTGCGTACTCTCTTGCGGAGGCAGCGTGTACCCCTGGTGAGTGCCTATGGTGGCATTAAGCATGGCAGGCACAGGACAGGCGAAGTGAGCCTGCTGTTTGTTACAAGCCTTCGGGAAAGTTTTTGTCAAACGTTCTTCATTTCCTGTCATAGAGACAGGTCCTACACGTATTTATTCAACAACTTGAATTTTGTAAAAGTTTATTGTGCCTATATTTATGGTTTTGGGTGCCTAAAACAGTATTTTGCGTGCCTCTTTTGGCACCTGAAACCCGTTTTTTTGGTGCCTCTAAATCTGGCTTTAACGATGAGATTGCAACTCATGATTACGGAGTTAGAATAAAAGAGCAAAAAGGTAGGTCTTAAAATATCACTGCAGAAAATTGTAGTAATGTACAACAATCTCGGAAGGGAACAGCGCTTTGAGATAGGTAATTGTGCACTTGAAGTTGTAAAAGACTACGTCTACTTAGAACAGGTAATAACTGTGGACTTGAACTGCAGGGTTGAAGTAACTAAAAGAATAAAAATGGGGGGAGCACATTCGGCTAGCACACTCATATTATGACTGGTAAATTGTTACTATATCTCAAGAGGAAGGTATATAAGAGCTGCACCATGCTGGTACTTAGCTATGGAGCATAAGTCTGGAGACGTACAAAAAGGACTCAGCTTAAATTGAGGACGACGCAGCGGGCGACTGAAAGGACAATGATAGATGGAACCTCAAAAACAAGAAGAGGGCAGAGCGGATCAGGGAACAAACCGGGGTTAAGGATATCATAGTTGAAATCAAGAAGAACAAATGGACATGGGCCGGACTTGTAGCGTGTAGAATGTACAACCGCTGGTCAATAACTGACTGGATTCCCAGAGAAGGCAAGCAGGGTAGGGGGAGACAGAAAGTTAGGTGGGGAAACACGCGATCGACCAGATAAAGTAACAGCTCTGTCCATCTACCTGCTGAATGTAGCAGATGCCTATCAGCAGGAGGACGGAACATAAAAACAAAAATGCGTTGCTGTAGCCACCAACGCTTCACGGGAAATATAAATTTCCTAGCTTGAAAACGCGGCTGTGGCAAGTTAGGAACTAAAGTTGCAAGTGTATGCCGCGTTTTCCACGCGCGAACAACTTCATTGTGTTGCGAATGCCGGCGCTGTCAGCTACCACGTTAGTTGTCTTAGCAGTTGCACATGAAAGTTTTTTGTCTTGAAGTTGTGTCATCCCGGCCACGGTTTTGGCGATAGATATCCGGTGACTTCGCCCAGCCAGCGGGGGCACGCTGTTGTTGTTTTACTGGGTCAAACGCATCTCGCAAGCGAGCCAAAGGGGCACCTAACCCCATTGTGAAAGAAAAAAAAAAAGAGGGGGAATGCAGCTGTTTGAAAATTTCTTGGCATTGGTTCTAGCCAGTGCAGAAAATGCTGCTAAGCCACCTTTGCCGCAGTACACCGGTGTCCTGCCAAGAAGCATTTGAAGATTTGGAAGAGGCTGTTATCATTAGTCACCGGACACAGCACATCTGGTTCGATTACTCATGCTTGTGTATGCCGCACAATCCTGAGTACCAGTATGATGATGATCGTCATCATCATCATCAGCGTGACTACGTCCACTGCAGTACGAACGCCTCTCCCATAATCTGCCTGTAAACTCTGGCCTGTGCTTGCTGCTGTCATTTTTAGGGGCGGAGCTCCTTAAGGCGGCACCCGTTCGTCCCTCGTAGTAGTCGTAGTCGTAGTGTGTAACCAGTCTTAAGTTTCGACCTGTAAGGAGGTGCCGGTGGGAGATTTCTCCTTTGCGTTGTTGAACAATAAAAAATTTGCAACGTGCGCGGTAACTAAAAGCTGACTTCTCCTGTCTCTCATTCCCCATTAGCTGCCATTGGCATGTACATTGAGCACTATCTGACAAGAAAGGGTTTCTACGTTATACTCGCTGGGCTTAACCTCCTTGGTTTTAGAAAGGTTTAGCGAGCGTTGAGCTGCAGTGCCATGAATACAGTGAACTAGTATATACTATGAACTCGAGGTGGTTAAAGGTGGGAAGTAGACAGAAAGGGCAAGCTGTAAGAAAGTGTGCATGTGCCACCTCTCGTTTAGTCTTTGGAACGTCCGCTGGATGGCGGTGCTTTTATATGGGGAATATATGATGAAAAGCTGCGAGATGGTGGTACTTGGAGTGTTGAAGAGATGGACGAACGGACACAGAGACAGATGCATGTACGGATGCACGGATGGCTGCACGGACAGATGAACGCATGGACGGACGCAGGGGTGGATGCATGGAAGAACGCTGGGATGGACGCACAGATGGACGCGTGGACGGACGAACAGACGCGCACGGACGGGCGGATGGACGCATGGACGGTTACACAGACGAACGCATGGACGGACGGAAGCAAGAACGAAAGGCGGATGGATGCTTTGCCCCACTCTCCATCATTCACTCCGTGGATATGCTGCCATTTTTTTTTATACCTGCAAACTTCCTAATCTCATCGGCCTACCTAACTTTCTGTCCCCCCTTTACCCGCTTGCCTTCTCTGGGAATTAAGTCAGTTATCCTTTAGGACCAAAAGAACAAGGAGGATTTTGAACAGGCTACTAAACAATCGACCACATTCATACTATAATTCAGGTAATAGAAAACTAGTATCATCACTGACGTATAAATAAACTATTGGCAATCATTTCGAGCAGTGTGACATTACTGCTTCCCTAAAAAAGAGCAAAATTGTGCACTAGTTTTTTTTTCTATGAATGTCTCGAATTTCAAGGTTGCGAGCTTGGCAGGTCCACTATAGTCCACATATAGGCACAACTTGACGTTAGTGTTATTAATAACACTTACTACGTCATTAATGCAAATGAGAAATAACAGAGGTCTGAGCACTGAACCCTGAGGCACTCAAGATGCGACTGTTACCGATGAAAAATGCGTGCGATTAAAAGTAACGAACTGAGATCTTAAGTGTAGATAGTCAGTGATCGAGTCTATTAATTTAGACCTTGTCAATATTGCTTGCAGTTTACATAGACGCTTTTTGTGGCAGACCATGTCAAAAGCTTTCGAATAATGAATGAAAATGGCGTCTAGTTGATCGTGACTATTGAGTGCAGAAGCTATGTCGTGTGTAAACTCAATGAGTTGCATGGCGGTGGAGAAACCAGAGCGAAAGCCGTGCTGGCTTTGTGAGAGAAGACTGTGGAAAGTTAAATGCTGTACAATATGCTTGTGAATAATGTGCTCAAGAAGCTAACAGCAAGTCGAAATAAGAGATATTGGTCTATAATTTACTATAAGCTGCTTGTCACTAGATTTAAATACTGAAACGACGCTGGTAATTTTTCAAGCTTTGGGAACAGTTGAAGTGTCCAGAGATTTATTGAAGATCACTGTAAGATAATGGGCATCCCATTCTGAGTATCTCTTCAAAAACATGTTGGGTATGGCATCAGGTCCCGTGCTTTTAGTCGTGTCAACTTTTAGCAACAGGTTAAAAACCCCAGCGCGAGTTAACTCGAGACCCGGCAACGCATGTTCCGAGTTATGTATGAAAGGAGGACGAGAACCATCATCTTGGCTGAAGACAGAGTGAAAGTATCTATTGATGCCTTCAGAAATGACGACAGGATCAGTGCAAGTTTGATCATTGATAATGAATGCTGTGGAGTCATGAGAAGAGGGAAGTATTGTTTTCCAAAATTTCGATGGGTTATCCTTCATGAATGTTGTTAACGTCGTGTTGTAATAAAAGTTTTTCGCTTCTGTCATTTTTGTCTTTAGCTCAGATTTCAGCGAAAGAAGAGATGCATCGAGGCGGTTTCGCTTGCGTATGCGCCTAATGCGTTATATAAGATGGATTATGTCACGTGTGTACCAAGGATGCTTCGGGTTATGTTTTACACATTTATGAGGGATGAGCTGCGTCACACAGGTGCGCACCAAATTATAAAACTGCTCTAACAATGCATCAACACTGCATGATTCACTGTTTGCCACGAAACTACCCAAAGAGCATTCCAACAATTCTACAATTGCACGATCGTTAGCATGCGCGAAATCAGTAACGGTGCTGAATCTCGGGTTACAAGGTACATGACTCACGTCAAGTTGCAATAACACACCCTTGTGATCAGTTAAACCCATCTATTACATCACACTCAAAGCCACGTTGCAGCAGTTCTTCGTTAATGAACACAAGATCCAGAAGAGAGTTACCTCTGGTTGGACGTTCAACCACTTGCGTTAAGTCAAAAGAAATAGCCATGTTAATCAGGTAGTCGCATATTGTCTTTTCACGACCTGTTGAAGTTAACAAGTCCCAATCATTACAAGGAGCGTTGAAATCGCCTGTGATGATCATTTTGTAACTGTTGATTTGGTTACGGACTATATATTCTGTAATGTGGAAAAATACATCTTCAGAACTGGGTGGACGACAAACAGCACCAATTACCGTCACAAAACCAGAAAGTTTTATACGACACCAAGCAGACTCAGTATTCGTAAGTTCAGGTAATACTGAAAATTCGATGCCTTTCCTAATAAAGACAGCAGCACCACCACCTTTACTAAATTGTCATTTCTTATGACTGAATAGGCTGGCGGCAAAAATTCAGAATCCGATATTGCGCTGTTCAGGCATGTCTCCGTAACACAAATAACTGATGAGTGGTGACACTCTACTAGCCAGTTGAAATCCTGAACCTTGTTAAGCAGACTGCGAGCATTTATGTTCAAAAGGGTTAGTTTCCGCTCACTGCTGAGTCACTCTGTGTCCCTAGGAACGGTGGCAGGAGGAGCCTGAACAATTGTTTTGCGAACACTGTCTCACGTGTAGCGAACGCTGTCTACTATCAAGGAATCGTATTGTAATCTATATTTAGATGCCTGTTTACGGATATCAACCAAATGATCCCACAAGTTTTTGCGGATTTGCTGTACGCGTGTAGAAAATTCTTCGTTAATATATATGTTGGTTCCTTTCAGCTTTCTGGCATTCTTAAAAATTTCAAGCTTGGTTCTGAA